AACAAACCAAAAAGACATTGCTGTCACTTCCAACTCATTGTGGCCCTGTAGAAGGATAGAGTGGAAGTGCCATATGACTGTAACCCTTATGGAAGCCGACTGCCACATCTTCCGCCATGGAACAGCTGATAGCTTTGAACCAGAGGCCTCTGGGTTAGCAGCCCAGCGCTTAACCATGGCACCACCAGGGCTCCTCCTTGCCTATTAATATGCCAGGTTATATGCTTGGCTCTTTAGCACAGTTCTCATTGAGCTCTTGCTAAACGCCTTTGAGGTAAACCTGCCAGCCCCATATTCCTGATGAGAAATCTCTGAGAGGTGTACTGGTCGGCCCAGGGTCAGAGCGATGGCGGCAGTCGAGATGGTGGCCGCAGCCAGCTGTCCGATTTCAAAGCTTAAGCTTTTTTCTATTTTGGCAGGCAGTTCATGTCTGTCTTCCTCAGGCTGGCAGAAGAATAGCTGCCATTGTACTTTCTACAGCATGTCATTTGGTGCCACGTAAAAGATAGGTGCCTTGGCTGGAACTCTTGGCTTGCTCGGTGTAGTGCCTCGTGTGTGCGTATGTTCTTATATGTTTTGGAACCAAGCCTCCTTAAAATAAGGTGTGAACTAAAGGAAATACAATCCTGATGTGATTATCTGAAAGGAAGCCTCAAGAAATGTTTTTTTAAATGTATTTAATCAATAACACAAAACTCTTCTTTGTTATAGTGGCATGGACTAGGCCAGAAATACGTATTTCCCTTAGAATTGGAGCATTTCAGTTCAATCAGTTTAGGAATTTAACAATGATGACAGTCAAAATAAATTGGTGCCGTCAAAAGGAATTGTAAGTTTCATTTCTTGTGTATCAGAAGACTCATTTGTAATCTGGAACTGGGAGCTAGAAGGGGAAAAAACATTTAGGTAGGCTAGTCTGTAAGATGGTGCATCTTAAAGAACTATAATATTAGTATGATTATAAGAGATATAAATATAGGTATACTCATGGTCACGGAATCAATACCAACTCACAGTAACCCTGTATAGGGTGTCTGAGGCTATCATTCTTACTGTAACAGACAGCCTCATCTTGACACTGCAGGTTGGCTGGGTGGGTTTGAACCACCAACCTTGAGGTTAGCAGCCCAACAGGTACTTGACAGTACAATATAGGTATAGGGAGACATAAACTATATGTGACAAAACTCATAAAGAATTATTAGGTGAATTGACAAGTTGTTTTTTAAAGATCAGCCATTTGGAACATTTATCTTGGCAACTCTTAAATCTGACTTACAAAGCATAGCGTGACAGTCAATTTTGTGCAAAAAGAAGCATAATTAATGTGAAGATCAGGGTATAGGTACTGCCAGTCAGTACTTAACACAGTTTCTTAGAACAAAGAAACAATTGACATCATCTTTTAATAGGGTGATCCTGGTTTGTCATTTTGTAGGTTTTTGTTCTTAGGAAAAATAATAAAGAAAGAAATCTTGGTAGTACTATTAGCAAGCAAGGTAGTACTATTTAAGACCCTAGAAATGCTTTGTTGCAGAGTCTATAAGCGACTACTGTACTGTTGGCGTAAGGAGCCCTGGTGGCACTATCCAGTAAGTGTTGAACTGCTAGCCTCAAGGCCAGAGCTTCAAACCCACTAGCTGCTCCACAGGAGGAAAATGCAGCTGCCCATAAAGATTTACCGTTTCAGAGGCCCTGTAGAGAGTCACTATGAATTGTAATCAACTTGATAGCAATGTTCCTTTTTTGTGTAGTTAAGGCAGCTATGTTTGGTTTTGGGGTTCATGAAGCTTTCTAGCCTCGAACATGCACATTCTTGTCTTCAAAATGTTCTTGTTTTCCTCCAGCCATTTGACTTCTTGTAAGGGGAAGGCAGTGCCACTCAACAGCCCTGTAGCTAAAGATGGTTGGGATTTTGTTTTTTGGGGGGGAGGGGAGTCCTTCTTGACACAGTAGGATCAATAAGCTGGCATGGTGATCGATAGTATTTCCCCACAGTGGTGTTAAAGTGAGGGAAAAGCCAACAAGTTTAGTGTGGGCATCTAAGTCACACAGTGATTAAGAGCTTGGCCGTTGCCCAGAAAGATAGTGGTTCAAACCCACACGCCACTCGGTGAGAGAAAGGTGGGGCAGCCTGCTTTCCTAAAGCTGTGCAGCCTTAGAATCCCGAGGGGCTGGTTCTCCTCTGTCCTGTGGGGCCGCTGAGAGGCAGGGTCCACGTGACAGCCATGAGGTTTTCTTAGCTTGGTTTGACTATTTTGACCACCACCACCAATAAGACACCTCGTGAGTAGCAGGCTTAGTAGCTAGATCCTTGCGTAACACTAAGCCGCAGCTTCCTCCCAGCCCATGTGGTGGACTAAAGGATAGTTTGGAGAATCAGCTGTTTCCCGGTTAAATCAAAAGTACTTTTACTACTAGTTTCTCAGCCACTAATTAGTGGCCACGGACCATTCTCCTGGAGGAGTTGTCACCAATCTACCACCGAAACTCAGTGCTTTCCAATGAGGAATGGAAATAATTGTAAAGCGACAACAGCCCTTCGGTTACCTTTACCCGGACTATTGCAAATCTTGCTTTCTGCTTTCTGAAGTGCAGGGTAAGTCTCTTTCTCTGCCCAGAACTCCCTGGTGCCTACCCTGAAGGCCTTTGCCATCTTGAGGAAGTGGTTCCTTCAATCAGGAGCAGGTTGGAGTAGCAGATTACCCCTTACAGGCTGCTAATCGAAAGGTCAGCAGTTCGAAACTACCAGCTGCTCCTTGGGAGAAAGATGAGGCTTTCTTCTCCCAGAAAGAGTTACAATCACAGAAGCGCATAGGGGGCAGTTCTACTCTGCCCTGTAAGGTCAGAATGGGCTATAAGTCAGAATGGGCTCATTGGCCATGATGCAGGGCTAATAGACAATCAAGATCTTTATAGAAAGAGGCATATAGGTGTATTATGTCGTGTTTGTTGTTCCAAGCAGAAACAAACCCCATATACTTGGCTTTTAGAGGAAAGGGATAAAGAGAAGAAAATATTCCAATAAGATTGCATTAGAAAAAAATTATAGGGAACTCTTTGATTATGAGCCACATGGACAGAGGAGAGAAGAAGAGAGGGGGAGCAGCTGGGAACGGCCTGGGTGGGGTTTAGGAAGCTTCGCAGAAGTCTCTGGGCCTCCCGCAAGCCCTGGCTGGTGCTGTGAGTGGGACTGCCAACCACACAGTCTGTGGGCACACCGAATGGCCGCTCTGTGGGAGGAAGTTGAGGGTCACCGCTCCCTTTCGGATCTGCAGCCTGGGAAAGCGGGTGCAGGGTCGCTTCCAGTGGGCGGCAGCATGCTGGCTGGAGATTTGGGTCGTCCCTCAGCCCGGCTCTGAACACAAGGGCTCATAAGCAGCTCGTGGGACCCCAACCCCAGGGCTCCACTTGTACTCTGTCTCAGCTGCTGTGGGTGGACCTCGGGGCCTTTCGCTGCCTCCCAGGGGCCAACATTTGTCCCTTGGCTGCCCTAGCGGGGTCTGTAGAACCTTCCCGTGCCCTGATGGGGTAACGGGGTAGCAGTCGGGCTGTTAACTGCAAGATTAGCGATTTGGTTCCACCAGTGGCTCCTGGGGAGAAAGAGGAGGCTGTTGTTGTCCCCTGTTCTAGAGGGGTTCCATGGGGCGGAATCAACTCAATGGCTGTGGGTGTGGTCTGGGATAACAGAACCCTGGTGCAAGCAATGAGACGAATATGTGTCAGTGGGAGTGTGTGAGCGACCCATTGGACACTTTCATGGCACCTCTGTGACCGTATGGAAGGCCTGTTGAGCAGCATGGGGATAGCCACACCAGAATGCTAGACGCACTGTGAATCAGTATCAAAAGTTCCTCTCCCCTCTCCACAAGGAGCTCTTCTGGGTGCATGTTCGTTTGCAACGGTAGCACATTTTGCTCAGCACATGTCTCCGTCAGCCGTGTCTCCGGAGTCTGTTGTGCATCAGACACTAGGAAGAATGAGCTGGACATGAAGCAGGAGAGCGAGCAGCGGCCCTTAGGTGGGAAAGGTTGAGAGAAAGAAAGGGTTAATAACCCAATGGCTATTTGTTTTTGCTGTATGTCCTGCAATAAAATGTTCTGTATAAAAACCTATACTGATATTCATGGAGGTGCCAAGACCCATAATATCGGAGATGTCAAGTATCTGTGACTCAGGCAATTCCAACACAGCCTAAGCCTTTGGGCAACCCCCTGGAGTGAGATGGGTTTTGACCTTGGGTTTTAACCTATCAGACGCTTTATGGTTTTGATATTTTTCATTTCCACATGCCAACAAATACCTGACTCAATATTAAAGCGAGTTCAATCACTATTTCTTGTAGCAGTCAAGGGGCAGTGACAGATATCCAGGATCGCATTGCCCCAACAGCCACCTTTTGTTGAGTACCTACATTGTATCATAAACCTAATTGATCAAACTACCTTCTGATGAACAGGATGAAAATCTCAACACGGCTCCCATTAACAAACAGAAGCATCCGAGGATCTGTACTCTGATCCCCAGGCCTCACACATCACACACACCCCTAATTTATTTTGCCCACTTTAATCATGAGGAATGGCAGTAGGTTGGAGATCTTGGACAAGATCTGAACTGTCATGTGTCTGTCTGTCTTCTCAAATGAGTCTACTTCACTGCTTCTTCCAACGCCCCTCCCAATCTGAACGCATCAGTCCAGCAGCAGGTTCAAGGGGACCCAAGAATGGCGACGCTAGGAATCGTGGAACAAACAGTGGGAAAGGAGAGCAGGGTGGCAGCCCTGCTTTCGTGTTGAACTCTCCCCTCAGACTCACAGTATTCCTTTAAAGGTGTGGCCTGAAGCCTCCGTGTACGAACACCAACAAATCCACGGCCGTTTGTTGTCAGAAGAGGCTGACTTCTCCTGGGAGCGGGGCACGCGGGCATGTTGCGGGATGGAGGGCTGACTATGGCTTGTTCAATGGAAACCTGACCTCCTGCATTTCCATTTTCCCTAGAGCACTCAAGACGCTAGCCTGCCTGCAGGAACATCTCCGTGGATTCCCAGGTGAGTAGAGGTGGGGCGGGGGCTAGTATGTACCTTTCCTTCCCCAATCCTCCTCCTACCTACCTGTAGTTATCTGCCGTTCAGTCCCCGAGGTCCCGTCTCAGCCTCTGGCAGCCACAGCTGCTTGAGTGCCCATGTATGTGTGTAATCCAAAGCCATCCTTGCGTGGGGCTGCCAGTTAAGTGCTCTGCTACTTACAGCCAAGTCGGTGGTTCAAACTCATGGGTTCCTCAGAAGAAACGCCTGGCAACCTGCTCCCAAAAGGTCACCGGCAAGGAAATCCTGTGGATCACAGTTCTCGTCTGCGCTTACTGGGGACGGATGCGATAGCAACCGCCTTCTTTCTTTTGGGGGACAGTTCAGTCTGACGAAACTTTCTTTTGGTTTGAAATGGAAATGTCAAAGATGTATTTCAGTGTGATGCAGCTGTGTAAAACTCCAGGATGTGAGCATTAGGCGAACAATGTGTCGAAACCAATCTAATTTGGAAAGCACATCTAAATCTGAAATAGGCAGAGATCAAAAGATGCTTGATTGACAAAGAGTTTTGATAGGACAGTGAGGGGACCAGTAGAGTACCCTCACCCAAACTCCCTACCCCACCTGCTCACTTCTATACCCTGCTCTGCCATCCTGTTCACCTCCGTTCTTTCACTCCCATCTTCAGCCCCTTCCCCCACCCCCATCCATCTGCCCAGCCCCCTCCCATCCCCAACCTCCTACCAGCACGCATCTCTCTACCCCACCTTCACCCCTCAGCTCTCACCTACATTGACACGTCTGTGGATCTCTTTAGTTCCATGCGTATGGAATACTTTGACGTCTCCCCCGCCGCTGCCCCCCCCACCCAAAAAAAAGGTCTCTTGCTGTCATCCTCGTGACGTGGAGGAGAATTATGGTGAAAAGTGGCAGGCTCCGGAGCCAGACTGCCTGGCTTTCCCTCTTCAGAACGACCTTTCTGCTGCTGCCCTCCTTGTGCCCCCGCGAATGGAGAAGCCTGTCCTGCCACTGGCGGCCCGAGAGGCCTTGCGAGGAGAGAATGTGCACGGCTTTTTAGCCAGACAGGCTGGCTTTGCATCCTGCTCCAGCTGCTAGATGGGTGTCGTCCTGGGACGCCCCTCACTTCTCTGGTTCCTCCTCTTTTCCTTTGATTCCACGATCACACTGTTTGGAGAGCTGTCGGAGCAATTCAGACCCGTGCGTGTAAAATGCACTTAGACAACCTTCAACAGAACACAAATGCTTATTCTTATCGGTGAAAATTATTTGCTGGAAATATGTTTTCGGTTCATACTTTTCCAGAAATATTTTTATTGTCTACTCCCCCCCCCCCCCCCCGCCAATATTGTGTGAATGACTATGTGTCACAAGCGGCATATTTATTGTGAAAAGATCCTTTCTGGTCCAGACTCTAGCAAAGGACTGTTTATTACAAACCGAGGTAGTCCGAGTTAATGAGGTCTTACGCACATGGCTATTTCCATGAGTACTTAAACCAAACTTGATTTTCCCCCACGAACCTGAAACGGTAGAAGTGAAATGACGGTCACTTTCTGAAAAGGGCCATCCGCATGAGTGGGACTTGGTTGTTTTCCGAGAATGAATATTTCACTTCCTCATATCCAAGTCACCATGAAAACACTGCAGTATTCAAAGAGAATTATTAGGAACAATTAGTTGGTTCTCTCTTGTCTCTGTACACACACACACACACACACACACACACACACAAAGGGCTCTGTTTCCCCTGAGGAAGAGTTACTATGCAAATTGTGGCAGCTTCTCCCCACCAGACAAGCAAGGGCACCACTTCCTGTTTTCTTGGCATGTGCACCAAATACTCAGAAACTCTGATTATTCTGCCGAAGGCAACACACAGCTTGATGGAAAGATGTACCCATTGAAAACAATTCCGATCGCATTTTCGTGCGGAGACTGAGGTGCCTCCAGCTGTCTGTCACTAATCATATGGGGTGGGGTGGGGGTGGGAGGGGGCGATGAGTGAGTGCTGGGCCCTGCGGAAGATGACTCTCCTCGCGTGTTGGAGCAGTCACGGTGGGCACCCCTCCTGTGACTGGGCCTGCCAGTTGCTAGTAGGCCCCAACATTGGCCAGCCGAGGGCACTTAAGGAATTTCCTCATGACGGCGCAGAGGGTCCACTTTTCTCCATCTGCTCTTTCTGCAGACGTCACAGGCTGAAATGGTTTCTCCCTCCGCGCAGTCCTGCTCTCGTGCCAGCCCTTACAGAGGGGCAGCTCGATGGCACGGAAAACTCACAGTAACCGGCGAGGTGTCCGAATTCAGTTAGGAAGAGGCCAGGCCCCCGTGGGCCCCCATAAGCCATCTAAATCCATTTTAACTACGAACCATGGCACTTCTGTAGCCATGTTTACTTTGGATGCGAGTGCCAAAGCTGGATTCAGACCGGGACGCGGGATCTCCCAGCCCTAATGACTAATGTGGGTGCCTGTCGAATCCCTAAATTCATTTCTTAATTAGTTCTCCCCAAATTTAGAGAGTTGCTTGGTTACAATCATTTTCACAAATACCTCTTAAATCAAAACAAATGTACATAGATAGTTTCCTGGTGGTCTGCTCAGCTTCCCCCAGGTCTTAAAGAACCAGGTGTGCTGTTGTTGTTATTGTTAGCAAGATAATAATAATGTCAACAAACGCGCGACTGGTGTTTTACAAGGTGCCCTGTGTCGTGGGTGCCAGAAAGCAAAGCTCGGAATTAATTGCCCGTTACAGCTCCTGTACCTTTTCAAGTTTAAAGCTCAGCTACTTAAGGCCCGGAGCCCTGGGAGCACTGTGGGTTAGGTGATGGGGCTGCTAACCACAAATTCAAACCTGCCTGCTTCTCTCGGGGAGAAAGATGAGGCTGTCAGTGCCCATGGCGATTTGCAGTCTTAGAAAGCCTCCGTTGGTTTGCTCTGAGTTGGGATCAGCTCTGCGGCAGAGGAGTTTTGTTTGGTTGGTTGGTTGGTGTACTCAGAGCCATGGGACCTTTGTCAATGTACCTTTTCTATCCGGGCCTCCATCTCTTCTTATAAAATGAAGACTAAGGGCACCTACCCCTCAGGTGCCCAGGGGACACTGTCTGGTAAGCTTTGGACTGCTAGGTTGCAGTTCAAATTTACCAGCCCTTCCTGGGGAGAAAGGTGAGACTCTGTTCCCTTAAAGCTTTCCAGCCTCCGAAACCCCGTCCATGGTCCCTGGGGGTCAGAATGGGTGACAGTGGGTTTGGCCGGGCACCTCTCCTCCGTAGAATGCACTGGGTATACAGGTAATGTGCAGCAAGTGCCTGGCACACGGTGACACTGTGGAATACAAATGTGCAGACTTCACGGTGCCACCCTGTTGCCCTCTGTCTGCACTTCCTTTGGAGAACACTCGTGGTGGCAGTGGGAGCATTGGGGACCCTGGAGTTGGAACTCCTGTATACGATTTGTGTTTGTGTTTCTCAGTTTGGCTTTCCATCCTTGAGCCGCAGGAGCGTTAACTTGAAACCTTTTGTTCCAAAATTGGAACATCAAATTGGAAGGATCGGAGTACTCTCCCGGCATATACAATGTCTCCCTTCATTGAAAGGAGACATGTGATTACCTGAAGAGACAATGATTAAGGGGATCAGCTTTAGTAAATTCATTGGGAAATTTCAAACTATTCTTAGCAGATTTCAAGGCATGATAAGCATTGAACCACTTTTTATAGATTTAATGAACGTGTAGGAGAAAGAGACTAGGAAAATAGAAACCCAGTAATTTCATGAGCTTTCCTAGTGGCTACATGAGAGCTAGTTCGTATTAAAATTGCTTGCCAAGAGATGCGCTGGAATGGCCTTCCTTAGTTGGGTGGTTTGTTTGTTTTTCTAAATTGGACCCAGAAACTCTACTCCTTTTATGTGTGTGGGGTGGGGTAGGGGGATGCTCGTGTGCATGTGTATGTGTGGATGCATGCTAAAGGTAGGTGCCGACGGGAACCCAGAGATACGTGTCTAATGGTCTGTATTCACCTCCAGTTAGAAACAGTCAAAACATGTCCATAGTGGAATGGATGAGTAAATTGTGGTGTGTTCTTAAAATGGAATAATGTACAGCAAAGAAAAATAATGTAACTAGAACTATACACAATGTCGTGGATGAGTTCTAGAAACAGAAAAGGGGAAAAGGCATAAATGATTACATAGCAATGTATACCATTTGTGTGAAATATGAATACAGCTCAGAGTAGACTCACTTGAGAAGGAGTCTTAAGTAAGTGGGTAATGGTAGAGAAACCCCAGCCTATAAAGAAGGTGAGATTCAGGCCTGTGGTTCCCACTAAGGGAGGAGGGCCGTGCAGAGCGAGGGCAGGGAAGCCTTCTGGGTGCTGGCAGTGGGCGTGACTGTTGGCTACTCTGTTGATCTGCAGTCTGATAAGCTGCTGGTGTGTGCCGTGCCGTCTTGTCCATGCCGGGGGTACAGACCCGAGAGGACCGAGCTGAACTGCCCCAGAGGGTTCCTGGGCTGTCACCCACAGGGAACAGATCTCCTTTCTCTGGCAGAGCTGCTAGTGGTGGGGGTAGAACCACCCACCTTCAGGTTAGCAACCAAGGGCTTCAACGTGGTGCCACCAAGGCTTGTTTGGATGCTAAACACTCATATTGTACCCAACACTCATCTTTAAAAAACTTTTCTGTTAATGGGTTCTGGTTAGTAGTTTTTAAAATTTTTAAAATTTCATTTTATAAAATAGCCCTTTGTGCCTAGTTTTTTTTGTACATTGTCTACTTTTAGGTGTAAGAGTTCACTGAGGAGATATACCAGAGGTGAAAAAGAAATGTATTAGAGCCTGTACTTCCATGATGAGGACTCTGGTGGCCTCGTAGTTACGTGTTGAGTTGCTAACCACAGGTCAGCAGTTCGAAAGCACCAACCACTCCACAGGAGCAAGATGAGGCTTTCTACTCCTGTCAGGAGTACATGCTCAGAAACCCACAGTGCACTTCTACCCTGAGC